CAATTCTCAGTCAGAGCTAGAATCGAATAAGGGTCAGTTATGTATGGTTTATGTAAATTCCTATATACAGTTGGTCTAGTGAGAAATAATTTTACTACATACAATATGGTCCTTGTTAGGGTTAATAGAGCATGTACAGTAAATTACAAACAAATATGTGACGGAACACGTCAGGCCTGGACGGATTGCTATCGTCGAAGGAAAAATGAATTCCCAAGTTTATCAAGACATTTTGCAGGGGAACTTAAGTCCATCTGTCTACCAGCTGAAGCTCAACAGAAGATGGGACAATGACCCAAAGCATAGAAGTAAATCAACAGAATGGCTTAAACAGAAGAAAATACGCCTTCTGAAGTGGCCCAGTCAGAGTCCTGACCTCAACCCGATTGAGATGCTGTGGCATGACCTCAAGAAAGCGATTCACACCAGACATCCCAAGAATATTGCTGAACTGAAACAGTTCTGTAAGAGGAATGGTCAAGAATTACTCCTGACCGTTGTGCACGTCTGATCTGCAACTACAGGAAACGTTTGGTTGAAGTTATTGCTGCCAAAGGAGGTTCAACCAGTTATTAAATCCAAGGGTTCACATACTTTTTCCACCTGCACTGTGAATGTTTACATGGTGTGTTCAATAAAAACATGGCAACATTTCATTCTTTGTGTGTTATTAGTTTAAGCAGACTGTGATTGTCTATTGTTGTGACTTAGATGATGATCAGATCACATTTTATGACCAATTTGTGCAGAAATCCATATCATTCCAAAGGGTTCACATACTTTTTCTTGCAACTGTATACTCTCTAGTTAATAGACATAGTTAACATGATTGTACGTATATCTATACTTCTCTACATCTGTCTATCATAGACACATACCGAACTGTCTCCAGCTACACTAATTTATACAATCAAACTACTATTTCTTTTTTTTTTTATATTTGTTTGTAATTGACTGTACATGCTCTATTAACCCTAACAAGGACCATATTGTATGTAGTAAAAACATTTTCTTACTAGACCAATTAACCAGTTTTACTTTTTAGATCCAAATCACTGGTTAGGCAATAATTCACACACAAGATAGTTTAAAAAGGATACTATGTGTGTATATACTAATACTGCTCTCTCTTCTTCAAGTGAGCACTTGACACATTGTACAATCGGTTGCAACAAACTTGTCACATATTCCTAATTTAGTAGAACTTTTGTAGCAATACACTATTGTAGCTATTGAAGTGAGGTTAGAATTATAAAAACCTCAATCTGGAAATGTATTTCCCTTACTTCTATTCTAAATAAAATCGAATAAGATATATATTTTAATTGATTATCTATTCAATGTTATGTTTTCAATTGAACTCCTGTAATACGGTTTGTTTTCAATTATATATTTTTTTTGTTCACCCCCATAAACTCCAGCTGCTCATTAGCGATAAAAGATGCTCACTCATTGAGTCCCTCCCTGTCATCACTTGATGGTAGCTACTGTACAGGTGTGATTCCAAATACTGTTCTGCTAAAAGAATGCCAAATAGTCTCCAGGAGACATCACCGCCAGAAATTGTAAAAGATGAAACTCTCGTATTCCAACAGCATCCCTGCAACACCTCCATTCTGAAGAACTATTCCCATAATGTACAAGGGCTTAACATGCCCCATAAAAGAGACATGATCCTAAAACATGCTTCATTCAGGAGATGTCATGTATCTCCAAGAGAAATATAAAATATTTCCCAGTATAATTCCACTCTGCCCATATTAATAAATCTAAAATGAATAAATGATGTTTCCATCTATAAACACAAACTGGTCACTTTTGAGCTGTTAGAGAAAATGTATGATGTGCATGGTAGATATCTCATCTTAATAAGTTTGTTGAACAATGTTATGTATACTTTGGTGAATGTTTATATTCCAAATTAGAATAAACTGACATTTTTACACAGTGTGTTAACTAGAATGGTGGCTGTACAATGGGGAACAACTCTCATATGCGGGGATGTAAACCATGTTATCCACCTTAACTTAGACTTTTATACCAAACCCACACCATTAAGTACAAATCGATCAGTTAGCCAGTGTAACATGCTAACCAAATGGTTACTCCAATTCAACCTATATGATAGCTGGGGCACGGCACACCCAATCGATAGGTGCTGTTCCTATTACTCACAAACCCACAAGATGTATTTGAGGATTGATGTTATCCTAGTGTATGGGTCCTCCTTAAATCAGATCACTTCATGTGACCTGGGAGATATCATATGGTTGGGCCATGCCCGGTCACATTAACCCTGAGGGAGGATTTAACATTTCGTGGCTGTAGCTATGGAGACTCAACACCACGATGTTACACAACGCCAAATTCCAAGCAGATGTAGAGTTGGAACTCTCAAACTATTTCACAACAAATGACACATTGGAGATAATTGAATCCTCAACATGGCAGAGTGTTCATTCAACAAGCTTACTTTATAAAAAACAATAAAGTAAAGTGATAAAACAATGGTAACCATTTATGTTCAAATAATATGGGCAGCTACATACATAAAAAAGTGACTTAAAGTGGAAACTCAATATACAAAATATAGTATGTGCATTCCAAAGCTAAGAAAGAAAACAGAAAAATTGTTTCTATATAAAATGTAAGTATACTTTTAATAAAATATCCATATATCATAACACTATATAGCTGTGATGGAATGCCATCACTGAGTACCATGCCCACCTCTTATTCACATATTTTTGCCATGTATCATGTGTTTCCTGTGTTTTCCCATGTATTTCAGTGCCTTTCGTGTATTGTGCCCTGTTCATCGTTTGGGAGAGTACACACGAAAGAAACTTGTTTGTCTCCTGAGCGGGTACCACCCCGCTATCCCATTTAGAACGCTCATTAGAATGTTCCAAAACCGCAAGAGAAATCACTAAAAAGTGCTCCCCTAGGTGTCCGCCAGGTCATATAGCTGAACGCCATCCAGGGGAGCATTCGTATCCTGAACTGGCTTGCCCGCATGGTTTCAGGTCCTCGTGTCGGGGATCGTCCTACCTTCTCCTAAAGAAGCCATAATCACTGCTTCTTCTTACCCGGGAGCTGTGAGGCCAGGCTCGTAGCTGCCCAGAAAGTGATCTCTCCGGTGCTACCTAAGTGGAGGTATCCACCGGAAAGAGACGCGGGACCCCTGGAGCTGTGAGTCGGCTTCAGTCGCGGAGTCCCGCTGGCCGCCTGGAAGTCTGTGCTGACCAATATGAGAATTAGCTCCCATTCAAACTGAGTTCGTGCCATTCTCCTGATAGGCCAGCACGAGTAAGTGCTGACTAGGCGTTGCGGGTCGCAGGCAACCAATAGGAAAAGGAGCTCCCATTCAAATAGGGTTTTGCACCCTTTCTCACGATTGGGTGACGAAAAACACCTCTCCTCACTGAGGGCTGATTGGCACCTCTCCCCTGATTGGTCATTGCTTGGTTTAGGCGCAACGTTTGAATTGACCCGCCTAAACCAAGCCATCCTGTGGAACTAATTTCAGATGTACAGAGCCTTGAGCCCAGATTTTGGACGATGATTTCTTGGGGTCTGTACATCTGATAGCCCTGCTATCCAGGGATATATGTTTTATGTGTGTGCCCCATAATCCTTCCCAGGGCGCGGAACCCCTAAGTGTTCCCCAATGTATATGATGTGCTTTACTGTAGTACTGTTGGTATCTCCCAGGGTTGGAGATGGCTATCTGTGAACCATCCCCCTCCATCCTAAGACTGTGGTATTTGTACTGAAAAGAATGGAACCCCTCTGCGGGGGTCTGTGTATAAATTGCCTGCACCCATAAAGCATTGTTAATCACTATGAACACTGTTCCAGCGTGTGGAGGATGCAGCGGGGAAAGTCCTTGTAAGGACTAAGAAGCACCCAGGGATGTGTGTCGTCTAGCCCCTGGGAGCGCATAGAGCAACCTATCCATTCCCCAGCTAAGAAGTGGTCCCTGGCGGAGGAACCCAGCTGGGATACAGGGAGCTCCATCACAGCAGTGTTTCCGGTTTTCCTTTTTTTTAAAACAAAAACAACCTCTATAGTGAGGCAAATCACTCAATTTAATAGATACTCATATATATAATTCCATAGATGTCTATGACAATCATAAATAGGGAACAGAACCCCACAAAATAGTAGCAAAAAGGTGGCAATGTGCAATAACCCAAAATGAAGCAACTAAGGCAATCCACATCCAAAAGGGCTGTGTTATCCTTCTGTTATTTTTATGCATTTTATATTATTCCTTCCTCCTTTATAGAATTTTTTTTTTTTCGTTCGACATTTCGTTGTTCGACATTTCGTTGTTCGACATTTCATTGTTCTTTATGCGTGTAATTTCTTTTGCAGACAAGGTGTTTGACAGACATTTCTGATTGTGCAACATTTAGGCGTTTCCACCCTATGATCTAGTGATACATTGAAACTTTTTCACAAAAAGGAAAACACAAAACACTATATAGTTTTATGTTTTATAATATATTGATATTTTATTAGATGTATACTTACATTTTATATAGAAACTGTTTTTCTGTTTTCTTTCTTAGCTTTGGAGTGCACATACTATATTTTGTATATTAAAAAACAATGCCAAAACAAAATACTCAACCTTCTACAAATGCTGTGAGACCTCACAGCTTCTCAATACCTTGAGCCATCAATTGCCAGGGAAGAACAAATAGAACAAATGCAAAAGGAAATGAATGATTTTAACATAATCCGTACAATTTACAACATAAATAGGTTAAAGACAAAACAATATGCCATGGGTATGCACAGATCGTCCACAAACAGCTTTGGTCTCCAAAATATCTGGAACAGAAGAAGTAGGATTTCAGGACAATGAGTACTTTTTATTATCTTTGTTATAGTGTTATTTTTTGCTTTTTCTATTTGAATGACAAATATCACTTTTTGGGACATATTCACTACACACAGCCACAGAATGTCCAAACTAAGAAATTATCCAACTACACCTTAAAGGATGAGTTAAAAAATACATCTCTCAACTCTCCCTCCAGCTCCATCTTCCTTCCTCTCTTCTCCAGCTTCATCTCTCTCCCCACCAGCTCCATCTTCCTTCCTCTCTTCTCCAGCTTCCTCTCTCTCCCCACCAGCTCCTTCTTCCTTCCTCTCTTCTCCAGCTTCATCTCTCTCCCCACCAGCTCCATCTTCCTTCCGCTCTTCTCCAGCTTCAGCTCTCTCCCCACCAGCTCCATCTTCCTTCCGCTCTTCTCCAGCTTCATCTCTCTCCACACCAGCTCCATCTTCCTCCCTCCTTTACCACCAGCTCCATTTTCCTCCCACTATCCCCTCCCGAGCCATCTTTATCTCTCTTCTTCCTCTCTATTCCACTTAATTTCTTCCTCTGTCCTTTTCAGCTCAGTTTTCCTCCCTCTCTCCCCCTCTATGGGTGTAGCTAAAGTTGGCTATGTTGTGCCAGAACTGACATTCGGGCAAGCCTGTAGAAAAAAAAAGGGATCGCAATTGGATGCGAAAACATGTTTATTATAACAACATACAATAAAAACCATATAATTTTTTTTTAATTGCAGGTTTTTAATTGTATGTATTGGGGTTGATGTGTGTTATGGTCATTGCTGCCACCAAGGAGTAGCAGGAGTGTGAGCGCAGGACTTATTTGTGTGTATTTGTATTATAACTTACACAGCCAATACAAAAAACACTTGTCTTAATTCAGTCTCGTGTCAAGGTATCTATTTGTTGTAAACTTTGGAATTGCAACAACCTAGTCTTTTGATGTGTACTGGAATATTTTGACTTGACGCATCTGTAGATGCTCCTATGCTGAAGGCATGTCCTGATGAGATTGCTGGGTCTAGCCATACTCTTGCAAAGAGGGTCTTTGCCTACAGAATTAATTTGGATGTAGTACGAGGTGATCCATATAATGACAGTAGGGAGTAATTCAAGGGTTTCCCTATAATGAGGGGGAACATGGTATTGTACTCTTATTGGGCACAAATAGGTGTTGGTAGGATACAGAGGAATTTAATTGGAGATCCTGGTTTGATTGTGTAACGGGTCACCTGGCACCCCGACTGGGTATCTCCATTGAAGAATGCTCCTAGTGCTTCCTGTAGGCTCCGAGCACTCCAGCAGACACCATAACCACCGTAGACTTCTTCAGCGAGCAAAACAGGAACCAGCACTTAAAAGAACTTTGTGAAGATTATAGCAAGGGAATATGCAGAGCATAGCAATCCCTTTTAGCAGATTCCCCCAATAAGAGACGGCACTCCAAATTGAGGGTGAAGTAGAACTGAAGCGTTAATCCAACACTCTGCTTTTATGCACATTTTACACACATAGTACTGCCCACAGGGTTTTGCTGAAAAACCAATCAATACGTACAATACACTCAGACACTCCCAGGAATTACACATAAAATCCTACCCTCTGCCTGTGATATAATAACTGAACACAATGGGCTAACGTAATTATCACAGGCAGGAAAATACACAATTTCACACAATATTCATAACTTTAAAAGTATACATCACATTCACATAAAACTTACACCAGCATACTCCAAATACAAACATATGTCAAAATCATACAAATTGGTCCAGTGGTTCAAAAGTTAGTTGGAAATCTCTTTTTGACCAACTGCAAGCATGGCTTGGGTGTGGTAAGCCAATTATCTCCAGCATACAGAAAATATCTCCATTTACAACAACAGTAAAAACACATAAAAATACATGATTCCTATCATACTGAACAGAACCCCCACATTCAACCTATCCCCAGATAGCGTGGATCTGAGCCCTCAATATATCCGAACTTAAGCCATGGGGTTTAAGTTTAACAAGGGCCATACACAATCCAATAGAAGTCCATAAGCCCCAAATGCTGTTTTGAAAGTGCCCAATCTCTCAGGGGCCATAGTCCCAAGGCATGAGGCAGGCAATCAGTCCCCTCCAAAAACCAGTGGCGAGGTCCCTTTCGCCACAGATTGGTTTTAGTATGTTGGAGGGATGGGGTGTAGTGCAATGCACATACTGGATTTTTAGACATTTTCTCATGTCTGAGGATTTGTTCACAGTGAATTGTCTAGGCTAGAGAAAGCTATGAAAGGCTACTGTCAGACAATTTGTGAGATGAAAATATATTGTACGGTGTCATTGCTAAGCAAATATGCTCAACTATACTGTATAACGTGAGCCATAGTTCAGCCATCTTGCTCTCTGGTGAAAGAAAAAAGAAAAAAAAAAGACATGCCTCTGTTCATTGAGAGAAGAGAAAAAGGGGTGTATAAAATAAAGTCAACTTTAGCAAGGTTATATAACTTGGAATGTCTGTCTAAGATAAGACACAGCCAGGGTCTTGCTATAAGATTCACATGGTCTCTTGCTAACTCCTAGTGTCATGTTAGGGGGGTGAGTTAAATATAATTTTATGGCAGGACAGGAGGCTTCATATTTGCTTTACCTTCTTTACTGAAACCTCCAGCAGCAAAGAAACAGTTAACAGAACTTTTCAAAACAACCAATCAGAACAAAGCAACAGTAGTATAAAACCCCTAAGCAGGCTCATCCACCTCCCCTTTCTTTGCTGCTGCCTCCAGGTGAGCACTCACCAACTCAGAGTTGTCTCTGCTCTTGGTTGTTGTTTTATCCTACATGCTGCTTGTTTATTTAATCAGTCTATTTTATCAGTCTATTTGCTAAGTTTGTCTAGGCAGTCTATTGCTGTGTTTAGCTAGGCAGTCTATTGCTGGGTTTAGCTAGGCAGTCTATTGCTGGGTTTATCTAGGCAGTCTATTGCTGTGTTTAGCTAGGCAGTCTATTGCTGTGTTTAGCTAGGCAGTCTATTGCTGGGTTTAGCTAGGCAGTCTATTGCTGTGTTTAGCTAGGCAGTCTATTGCTGTGTTTAGCTAGGCAGTCTATTGCTGTGTTTAGCTAGGCAGTCTATTGCTGGGTTTAGCTAGGCAGTCTATTGCTGTGTTTAGCTAGGCAGTCTATTGCTGGGTTTATCTAGGCAGTCTATTGCTGGGTTTATCTAGGCAGTCTATTGCTGGGTTTAGCTAGGCAGTCTATTCTGTGTTATTTCCTATACCACTTCATGCTATGTAGCTGCTGTATCACTTGTTAACATCTGTTGCTGTATTTAGGCCATTTATCTGACAGATTCTGTATACTGCTCATTGATTTATTGTTATTCTGGGTTACTTTATTCTGTTTTCTCACTCTGCTGTATGGGGAATGGGTGCCCCTGCTATGATGCTTTGGCTCTGCCTGTAATCTGTTCCCCCTCCCCTCCCCGGGTTCCCCTGCTGGGCTCTGTCGCCCATACCCTTCTCCCTTATTCCCCACCTGCTCCCCGTGGCCCCTGGCCGCTTGCAGTGCCGCACGATCACCACGCGGTAGGCCGCGCTCTGTTTTTGCAGCCACGGCAGCCATTTTGTTGGAGCCGTGGCGGCCATTTTTCAGAGCCACATGGGCTCTGTGCGTTGCGAACAGCCAGGTCTCACCCAAGAACTGGCCTGCTGGCCATGTGGCCACCCTCCTCTCTCCCTATATCAAGGGAGATAGCCCAGTTTTTCAGCTATCCCTCTACTTACTGTGCCTGTCTCACATGCTGCATATGTAACAGATCCTGGATAGCAGGATCTGTCCCAGGCACACTCACAACTGCAGCTTACTATGTCTGATGCAATGTGACTAGGTTCTCTATCTTAGCAGTAGACTTGTCACACTTTTTTTACTATTACATGTGAATCTCAGATTTAAAGGGACATGTTACTGCTCAAATAAAAATCTTTGTTTAACAAGAATGTGCCACATGTGTTATATGCTAATCAAGTCTTCCTCTAAGGTTCAGTCTTTTTCTCATAAAAATTTAAATGGCCTGTTTTTCAGCACCTAGCTCCCCTGCCTAGGATTTGCTGCCCTTCCTGCAAGGGACTTAAATTTTCCACTACACATACACTTCAAAAGTGTATCCTAATATAATACCTGAGTGGTCTGTGAGTCAGCTTCTCGCTATATGGACCCTCCTACCCCTCAGCGGGGCTACTGGCCCCACATTCAGACCTGTTATTACTGGGGGGTGAACCCCCCCATCCATATTTCTGGGGCTCTACCTGCTACTGGACCATAATAATGGACGTGTGACACCATTGTGGGCTGGGTGACCCCCTCCCTCTGGCAACATGGCTACCTATGAGTACCCTGCTGGCTCTACAGCGTCCTGTAAGATTAATGCTGAGGGTGACCCCCTCCTGCTTCCTATACTAATGCTCCGGCAATGTCCTGCTATTATCATACCGAGGGGGTACCCCTCCTGCAGTCTGCACTGCTGGACCTGCAGCGTCCGGGTATTCCCATAAAAGAGGGTACCCCTCCCACTGATTGAGCTTCTGTTCTTACAGTGCCCTGCAATACGCAGATACTGAGGGTGACCCCCTCCTGTGGACTACTCTGCTGGACCTACAGGGTCCCGTTATAACCATAATGAGGGTGACCCCCCTCGCTGACTACACTGCTGGGTGTACAGACCTCTATGATACCACACTGAGGGTGACCCCCTCTTACCTACAGCACTGCTGGATCTGCAATGCCCGGTTCTGGTTATATGAGGGTGACCCCCTCCTGCCGTCTACACTGCTGGACCGGCAATGTTTGGTTACTTTATTATACGGCTAACCACTTCGGCACTACTGTACCTACAGTGTCCGATTATGTTCAGACTGAGGGTGACCCCCTCCCCTGCTGGCCTAAACTGCATGGTATGCTTGTGCTTGTTGGGTGACCCCCTCTTGCACGCTGGGTGACCCCCAGCTGGCCGCACCACTGTACCTACAGTGTCCGATTATGTTCAGACTGAGGGTGACCCCCTCCCCTGCTGGCCTAAACTGCATGGTATGCTTGTGCTTGTTGGGTGACCCCCTCTTGCACGCTGGGTGACCCCCAGCTGGCCGCACCACTGTACCTACAGTGTCCGATTATGTTCAGACTGAGGGTGACCCCCTCCCCTGCTGGCCTATACTGCATGGTATGCTTGTGCTTGTTGGGTGACCCCCTCTTGCACACTGGGTGACCCCCAGCTGGCCGCACCAGGTATCATTTGTGCAATCACGGCTGAAGGACAAATCTCCCGTACCCAGAAGGTCACTTGGCCTGTCCTCTTGCTGCCCCGCTGACCTCACTGCCAGAAACCATCGGTGCCCTACGGGGACACTCCACCGGCCATCCTAGACGCTACACCAAGCACCCCTGGTACT